TATTTTTTATTTTTTGAATTCGAAATTATGATTTTATTCATTTCATTATAATTTTGGATTCGATATAAATTTAATATAAATACTCAAATATTGGGTAAATGTGTAAATTTGCTTTTGATCTTATTTCCCAAGTGCATCTAGCACGATCATTTTATCGGTGTGATTTTATTCATATTTTTTGGGGTACAATTTTATCCATGATCTTATTTTTTTGATGTAATTTTACCCTTGATCTTTGGATGTAATTTTAATTTAGCCTTGAGGGGTAGAATTGCACCATTAAAATGATCAGGATGCTGAGCACACCTAAAAAATAAGATTAGGAGTAAATTTGCCCCTTTACCCTTATATATTAAATATAAGATTCATAATACTTTGATTATGATTAATAGCAGTAATATGTCAAAATCATAAATATATCTTATATTCAGAACCAAAAGAGTATATATACAAGGTTACCAGATGGTTTGTGGGCGAAGATGTCATGAAGAATGCGCCAGGCAGCCTTGGCTTCAGCGACTCCTTCTATGAGATGACGAGCACGAGATGCGTAGGATGCGCAATGCTTCTTCATTATTTTGTCTCCGAGAAGAATCATCTTGACGAGTACCTGCATCATCAATCATTACTCCCCAAAGACGGTCAGCCATCAGATAGTTTTTAACCAAATTAAACCACTCTCCACAGTTCTCCTTCGTAAGTGGCTCTATAACCCTATCGTTATAGACACAGGTCTCAGCCATAACTCACTCAGTCTGCAATCGGAAACAGTGTGCTGAGATTTCAAGTGTATTTCAAATCAAATATAGCAATGTTTTCATAATTAAAACATACGTTATTCTAACTTCCTTGTTTGTTTGCCTGGCGCCTTCGTACTAAGCTGTCTCAGTTCAAAGTTGCTTTTGCGCGGAACTATCAAATCACCATTCCGTTGCATTTTAATGATTAAAATGAAGCCAAAAATACTATAAAAAGAACATATATGAAATTCTTTTCGTACCTCATAACTTATAAACAATCAATCCCTTCCCTACCATGCCCGGAATATGTGGGAACTCACACACAGATCTATATATATATATATATAAAAGTAACCATCAATTAATTGTAGGAGGCTTAGTTTTAGTCCAAATATAATTTTAAAATACATATTTTATTTATATATTCGTGTGTTAAGTTTAAAATAATAATAAAAATGATAAAAAAAGAGTAAAAAATTACTAAATTGTAAATTAGATTTGGTAGTTATTAACAACACTGAATTTATAAATATTAACAAATTTTTTTTAACATTTCATGTTGTATGTGATTTTCTAATTTCTTTTCTTTTTTTGCGTGTAATTTCTCCAAAAAATAGCTGGAATTTTTTTATAAAAATTTTAACGCTGAGAATATACAATGTTAATATATATGCGTGTCGAAACTCAGAACAATTCCACCACCAAAAGGCAAAAAAAAAAGAAAAAAGAAACTCAACCATTCATGTTGGATGGATGAGAAGTAGATATTTTCTTTTTTATAATTTTGCATATTTTTATTATATATATTTAATTTTTTTTTATGCGCAGAAATGTGGGGTATTTCTTTTTATTAGTTTGCCGCAGCACTAACCCTACCGAGTTGGTGGGCTACCCGAGTTAAAATTCTTAGATCTGAACGGGCTGTTTTTTGGGGGGAAAAAAGAATTAAAAGGAAGAAAAAAGTGGTCGTCCAAGTTTGTTTGTATTGTCCTCTATGAATCTTATGACAATGGAGACGAAGTAGAAATAGAGCAATGAAAAGAGAGGAGAGAAACAGAGAAGATAGGCGGAAGAAGAAGATCCAAGATGAAAACAAGTAAAGAAAGGGAAAAAAAAAAAATAAAGTATAAACTGGTAAAAAAAAAAAAAAAAGGGAGGAGAAATGAATCAGAAATGGGAAGAGAAAAAAGGAGTAAATAGACGAAGAAAGTTGAAAACCAAGAAGCGAGAAAAGGTCTCACTTGAACCAAGAAAGAAGACGATGACTTGCTCAGGCTTTCAGTCCTCCCAACTTCCAGCTACTGAAGAAATTGAAAATCCAATGCTGAACACAAGAATGAAGAAAGAAGAGAGTTATAAATGGCCAAGGCATACCGACATACTGTACAATTTTCACCTCCAGTAATGCACTTTTTCAGTTCATTGGGCAGCTAAAAAAAATTTTGAAAGTCAAGTTAATGAGTGAGTGAATTCAGACTGTACTTCTCTTTCACACTTTATTACAATGTTATTTTTGATTTTATTTTCTTTTTGTATTTGAATCATGAAATCGTTATTTATGATTGTATAACTACAAACAACATATTGACGGGTTAAAGTTTTTTTTTTGTTTAGACTAGTTAATATAAAATTGACAAATTTTGTATCAACATAATGTTGTTTCACTCAAAACTTTGTTCATTGTAGTGTTATTATATTAATACTTAGACTCTATATATTTATTTTTACTTGTTATTATATACATACAGTAATTTTTCATCAAATTTTTTGCTTTAATTATTACCAGTCTAACTATAGGTTGATCCTAATATGATCTGCTAATCCTTAAATCACTGTTTCAATCAATTTATTGACCAGTGTGATTTTTTTTTTTTTTAATCATAGCCATACAACTTTATTCTAAATACTTTTTACAATATTGGCAATGGTTGTCATTTATTATTATAATAATTTCAACTACTCCTTTTTTTCCCCCCTTGCGAGTGGGGGGAGGGCACGATTAAAAACATACATTAATTATACTTAAAAATTGAGTAGTTTTTAATAATTAATTAGTCCGATAGCTTATATTAAGGAGTTGAGGGAGTATCTACTAGTTAGCTGCTTTCTTTCTTTCTTTCTCTTTCTTTTTAACTTTTGGGTTAAAATGCATCTAGTATCTTACCTGCTCTTATCTACTAGTATGATTGATATGCCTTTCTGCTCTTACCTGCTCATCGAAAGGTTTCTGTAAAGTGTGTATGTATCCAGAATCAAGGCAAATGTGAGTAGCTCTAGCCTGCATGCATTGTGGGGCACCTTATTAGCTGTTGAAGAAGCAATAGTCCTTACTTGCCTTTTGAGCCTCACTCAGTTTTCTTCCGAAGCGAGGAGGGGCAGGGCGTTTTGGAAGTCTTTTAACATCTACATCAGCACCTCTTCATTACAAAAATTGAACATATTATAACTTGATAACTCCTGATAACCGCCAATAAGCATGACAAAATAACCAAGGTTTCATGAAAATCACACAGCCATCAAAGCCCTAATATCTCAACCCTTCCCCGTCTTGCACATTCACATGTATGCTATGCATTTGACGCTGTTCCAACAAACTGATAGCATAATTAGTGTTGTAGAAACAGATTTCATGAAGAATATAAAGCATCACTTTATGTATAACAAAAATCAATGCTGATCAGATTGATTAGTTACCTTTGCCCATGATGTTTTCATATTATTTGCCCCTCTGGTTAATTAAACTAGTTGTGCCAGAACTTGTCAAGCTATCTATAATACTGATTTTTCATCGTTTGTCCCACCCCAACTATGCTTCACTGGCATGATCACACACCGTATGCATTAAGAAACATACTCACAAAGCAAACCAGTTTTTCAGCATGCTACCAGGATTCGTCACACCAACTAGGTATTAAAGGAGGCATCAGATTACAAGATAAGTAGAAACTAGAATAAAGATCTTTATGAGCTTACGTTATGGACAACTTCGAGCTGTGTTCACGTGCATTTGTGCATGCGTTAACTAATAGCAACTTAGTCTTCTAAGAATTGATGCATTTAAGCTTAAAAACACAAAAGAGTGGAATGAAGAAAACCTGCTGACAACAAAGTAGACAGAATCTGGCTTTGCTTGAATGGCCGTTTTTGTAAATCCAAGCTTATCAGCTGGCCACAATTCATCCCCATAGAAACTGCTAGTATACAGGACTTGGTCCCCTGCTTTCAACCCTGCTTTAGCTGCATTCCCATCACCATCCACACCCTAGAACAGACCATAAGTTTCCATTAACAACCTAAAAAACTAAGACATATTGGCCAGTTTGGCATCACAAGGAAGAAGCATTTGTTTTTTATGACCATTGTTTTCATTACTCAACAATGACTGTGTTTTTACATTTGTTAATTGTTAATCTAAGGACATTTGGTCAAAAAGGTTAAAAATAAAAAATCAAAAAAATCTAAGGATACATGTATAATTTTTATCTATCTTCCAATCCTCTTTTCATTTTCATCCCTTACATTCGGCCTGCCAAATGTGATTATGCTTAAACTAAGCAGAATTCCAAAGGGCCAAAATAGAGGAAAATTTTGAATCTTGAACCTAAATAAAAAATTATCTAAACTAAGTTTCTGTTCGCTATTCTCCCATTTTCCACAATTTGAACATATGCTCTTGAAGACATTGATAAATTAAATACACACTCCTCTAACCCAACTAAAATTCCAAAGCAAAATAGCTTTCACATGCAGTAAGAGTTGTAACAGAAATCATCAAAGCCCTGTACAAAACAACTGCATCAAGCTTTCACAATGCGGTTAGCTGTACACAATAAACTGGGGGAAGAATACCTTTGAGGAAATAATTGAATTGGGACAATCTGATGAAGACATGCAACAGTAATCACCAAACTGGCTAAAATTTCCCATTAAAGGCAGAAAACAAGCAAGCTACTCACAGTGATGACGACGCCGCCACCAGATTTCTGGCCCAAGGTGAGGCCAAGTGGCTTGTCGACCTCAACCTCAATGGTCTTCGCAGCCCCAGCAGCTCTAGCTGCGATCTCAGGCCCTCTTCTGAAAATGGCAGAACCTTTCGTGTTCTCAACCACAAAGAAGGAATCTGAAACAACCCTTTTGGCTTCACGAAGTGAAAGGCCCTGGAAAGATGTTTTCTGGAGACAAGAACCGAGAAAATCGTAAATTCAAATGGGCAACAAGAAAATCCTACCCCACAGAAAAAATGAACAGGATGAATAGTACCTGGGATTGAGATGAAGGATTAAGGAGAGACCTCGACTTGGAGTACTGAGGGAGCTGAGAATTTTTTATGGAGTGGTGGTTGGAAGAGGAAGAGAAGGTGGCAGAGCATGAGGAAGAGGAAGCTGCTGCAACAACACCGGACATCGCTGATCTTGCGAGAGTTAGTTCAGAGTTGCGTGGATGAGAATGAAGTGAACCAATTTCCAAACGAACACTTGGGAGGCAAAATTGGAGGAAAGTGGTTCTTTTTTAATATGGTGGAAGATGGAAGATAATCTTTGATTGGTAGGGGAGGATGGCACCTCTGAGCGCCACGCGCCCTCTACATCGTACAGCCACCAAGTCATTCCCATTATTTTGATGGGAAAATTACAAAGTACGACCCTTACCCAATTTTAATTTTTTTGGTGGGAATTTGGACAAACACTTGGCGATCGACTCCCCCCCTCCCCCAAAAAAAATAACAAAAGAGGGAACTCCCAAGACTAACTACCCAACATCAAGAGAATTGTTACAATTTTTCACTTCATTGATAAGGATTAGTCTAATTAGTAAGAAATTATCTTATAACTGTTATGAATATTGCATGAGTGGATGTCCATAACCCCTAACCCTTAGAATTCTCATAGGATTCCTTACCTTCAAGTGTCATAAACTACATAACCTCCCTAATGAATGTTTTTGGGAGGAGTTTCTTATTGTTAATGCTATTATGATGTTCTTTATTCCTTTGTAATCTTAGTATAGGACTTCAATGCTTGGAGGCCTATAAATAGAGGGTATACATGAGGCATTTGTACCTTGAACCAAAGTGAATGAGAAAAGGCCATTGTCTTCTCTATCTCTTGCTTTCTTTTCTACTATTCATTCTCCTTATTTCTTGTAGTTTTATAGCAATAACTCATTATAAATTCAAATCTTATTGTTAATATAAGAATCTTGTCGAATTTTGCCTAAGTGTCATAAATAGTATTAAAGTAATGATGTAAACCCATAAAATAACACCTAACTAGATCTTGTATAGATAATAAAAGAGAAAGAAAGAAAAGAGATTATCAAAATACAACTCTTTAGCCTCTTTTTTTTTTCCCTTGATGCTTATTTGAGTTGTTCACCATATTTGCCTTTGTTCTTTTCATTACATTTTGAGGACATATTCTCTTCTTTTTTTTCCCACACAAAGTCTAGTTTAGTGTCATTTTGTGAGTTCTCCTCATCACTTTAATGTCATTTACAAAAATAACATGTTTGAAATTTAATGACAAAAATTAAAATAGACTTAAATTTCAAGATAAAATTTGAAGGATTGCGTTTAATTTGATTCTTTTAACCATATACGCTAATTTTATATATACACAAATATAAAAATTTGATCCGCGTTCGTACAGGAGGCAGGTAGGGTACGAAATAAGGGCATCCTCCATTTCCACGTCATTTTACATGAAGAATTTTATCGGGTATTTCTCAGATATATTAAATTATATCCTAGCGTTGTGAAACTATTTTTAGAAATAAGTTAACACGTTTTTCAGAATTCATTTTGACTCCAAGACTTGTTTCATCAGACCAGAACTACTAACAGAAGCAAAATAACATCGGTAAGGGTAGTGAAATATAATTTCAAAATTGTTCATAGTAATATCTTTCAGAATCATATAAGCCAAATCAATGCGCAGTATATCCAACGAGATATGCCAATTAGAGAAAAGAAAAAGGATGTTATGCAGACAAAAATGTAAATAGTTGTTTGAATTCATCAGTTAAAAATCATGATAAATGTATGATTTTTCAAATAAATACAAAATTTTTTAATCACATTAGCCAGCCTCAAATTTGATGCACCTATGCAACCTCCGGAGAGGATTCTCTCGTCTTCTTTTTTAATCCTCTTTCCCTCCTCTTCCCCACATTTGAACGTGTGTATATACATACATGTGTGTGTGTGGCTGACTTGCAAGAAACACGTATTATTGAATAGAACTAGACAGGTAGTGGGATAATAACGACAGGCACGTATATGCATTTCATGGCCAAGAGTTTATTTTACATTTCTCTTAAAGATGCCTGGGCCATAAGTAGAAGAAATTACATCAAGAAGAAGAGGAAATTGTAACAATACAAAGAGGGTCACTGGGACACTAGCAATTATAATGACAGGTAGATAAGACCATGAGTATGTATGCTTAAACATGAGAATGATGCATAAACAAAATGCTGCCATCATGGTTAAAATGGACAAGAAGAGTGCAGAAAGGCCAATGATCAACTTTCTGGGTAACGATATGAGGAAGTCTTCTTCAGCATAGCGTGAGGTAAAAACCCCTAAAAATGTCAGCACAGAAGTTGTTGAAGAGAACAATGACAATGCATCTGAGATCATGAAGAGTATAAATAACTTATCTTTCAAAAACATTGGGTAGCCTGTATTCTGATCGTTCCCTCCGGGAACAGTAAAAGCTGCAGCAAACATGATGGTAACAATCAAAGCACCAACAACAGAACAAGAAGATGCTGTATCCTTCATCCATTTTTCTCCCGCATCCCTTAGAGCTTTGTGACTTTCTATGAACATTTCTTTTGGTCGTTTACCCTTGCTATTCTTAGGTACCCTAAGTCCAAGAGGTACTACCTTTTCAACTTCCTACATGCATTTATTTCATAAAAATAAATAAAAAAATAGTTATATATGCATGCTTGTATTCATTTATATGGTACACGTGTAAATTTGCTTTACAAGTTTTCACCCAAGAGCACTGGATACATCAAAGTTTTTTGAGTGCAAATTTAACTTGAAAGTTTAAAATCATACCCCTATCGTTAAAAATGCTAAGGTTTAACATCACTATTTTAATAGTCAATGTTAGTTATCTTAAAAGTAAGGGACAACATTACTATGATTTTAAACTTTCGAGATAAATTTGCAGTAAAAACTTTCAGGGTTCCTAATGCTTCTAATAAATAAGTGAAAACTTTCGTGATAAATTTACACTTTAACCTTATATATAAATATATATATATATCTAACCTTGAACCATTGCATTTCTCTTTGCATCTGCAGAGCTGCACCGGAGACGCGGTTAAGTTGGTTAGAAGGACCCAGCATGGCTGCCATATGCATCATACAATGTCCGGAGGTATCTACCACTGATGCTATTAAATTCTTGAAGCGATACTCGTGGATTAGGTTGAAAACCTCAGCTTGACGGCATTCAACAGCACAGAAAAAAGTGTTCCGATTCCCTAAGCTTGAAGTAAACTGGATTAGTTGTGGGTTTGTTTTTGATACTTCGGACAAAAAATCAACAAGCCCTTCTCTGGCCGCAATGTACAACGTATTTATAACGATCCCATGCTGTTGCCTATCCAAAAGAGGTGCCCTCTGACAAAGTAGTTTCAGAATTTGAGATGCTCGTTCATGCAGCAACTTTAGCTCATATATTTCCTTCACTCCTATATATATATTCACAACTCATCACGTATAATTATATATCTCTAGCTTGTGTTTATGAGATTTATTTAAAAAGATACAAGGTATGAAATTTCTTAGCATATGATATGATATACCTAATCGATTATAGGTGTTAGAGATGAACCAGTGTAGTAGACCATGCCCTGTTGCAAGCAAAGTGTTAAAACAACATAGTGACGAATAGGAATTTGGATCTAGGCCAAGGATCCCACTTAAGTGTGAACATTTAGCACTCAGTATAATATTTTCTTCTGTCCTTAATATAAGAACTAGATAACCTAATTTTGAGAGATTAAGAAAAGTAATTAATTTAATTATTTGTAACAAATATATGTTGACTTCCCTATTTAATCAAGTATATTGAAACTACCTCTCGGTGGAAATCTATTATAATCAATGGGATATTTTGGAATAAACACCATAAATTTAGGAGACATATATTGAAGTCTTATATTTATGACCAAATTCAACCCCTTAATTAGCTCTTATATTTAGGACTAAAGGCATTAGTTGAGGCTTGAAGATATATATATCTTAACTAAACTATGTAATCATATTTTACTTGCATTTTTAAATCATTTGAGAGAATTTAGAAATAATTAACTTGGGCTTTTTGACACACACGCACGCTCTCTCTAAGTATACATACATACATCTCTATATATATATGTATGTATGTATGTATGTATATGTACCTTGAATGCTTTTATCGTCGCCTTCTTGTTGAATGTCTACACAAACATTATCAGTTGTTGTGGTTGATGGTTTAGGTATGGCTTCCGCCGAAAAGAGAGACAAGGGAAACAAAGAAAAATGAGTGTCTCATTGAAGGTAAAACAGAAAATGGATAGAAAGAAGCCCCCTTACTGACTTAGTTTAACGGCCTTTTCACATTTAAATAGGAGAGGATATTATAATAAGAGATTATTAAAGACATGCAGAATTAAACAAGCATAATAAGCATATATATAGATTCTGTAAAGATAGATATTCGGAAAAGTAGCGAGAGACTCACACTTATAAATCCATCTTTTCCAGAATCCAAGTTGACTTACACTCTCAACTGCAGCTGGCATGCTTGCTATACTTGCAATTGGTGTCCAATTGGTGTGGTCTGCGGCAAAAATGATATCTTCACATTGTTCAAGCAGATGCCGAGCAATATCTGTAATTATTATATTTAGTCATGGCAAGATGTGAAATAAAGAGAAGAAAACACAAGCCCACAAAATCAGAGGAATAATATCAGTTCCCATTAAGGGCTGGACAGGTAGGTTTGATTACCAAGTTCACCGGCTTCGAAACATGCACGAAGAAGACGAGAACCTAGATAGCCATTTTGAGGTTTGAGGACTTCCAATGGGGTTTCCTTATAGAGAAAACGTCCCATTTCTTTCTGACCAGCACCAATGGCCAATGCAACAGGAAGATGATATCTCAAGTCCGGAGTGTCCAGTATGTTTCTATTCTTATTAAGCATGCATTTTGCGATTTCAACGACCCCAGTGGATGCAGCAATTGCAAGTGGAGTAGAGCCATAATCGTCGACTATTTCCAGGAATTCTGAGTCAGCTAATCTCACCAACTCCTTCACTAGTTCTACATGTCCAAAAAGCGCAGCCACATGGAGAGGTGTTCCGTTTGTAGCTGTAAGTTTTGCCGTCCAAGCACTTGAATGTTGCTCTAGGATTTGTTTTGCTTCCTCCAACTTGTTAGCACATATAGCTTTGTGCAAAATGCCGACGTCAAAAGAAGTTTCTCCCGCTGCGTTCATGGCAGCTGACCAACAATTCACGTGTACATATACATATATATGTACATATAGATATATCAGCACGAGTAGTAATTAATTTTTTCATATCAGTTAATTTTTTCATATCAGTATGTCGTAATTGAATTGTTTTTTCCCCCTAATGAAGACTGAATAACATTACTTCACAAGGAAATAAAAGGAAAAAAGTAACAAACATTAGCTAAGAAAAGAATTGAGTTGTTTTCTAACTGCACAATCGGGAAACAGTTGTGCGCATATGTAAAGGTTAATGTATTAATTTGTCCTAGAAGCCACTCAGAAGTCACTACGAGCGTTGGGCATCCAAACCTTTTTTTTTTTTTTTTGGGTGCAAGTTTATCCTAAAGTTTAAAATCTTAGCAATATTGTCTCCTCACGATAAAAAAACTAACATTGACTGTTAAAATTATTATAGCAGCAGCAATATTATTATATTTTAAACTTCCAGGCAAATTTGCATCCGAAAAAGCCTCCGATCGCCCAGTGCCTTGGAATGAACAAATTTGAATATTAATCCTATATACAGACACACACACACATACAGGGTCATATATATATATAAGGTTACCAGATGGTTTGGGGGCGAAGTTGTGATGAAGAAGGCGCCAGGCAGCCTTGGCTTCAGGGACGACTTCTATAAGATGAAGAGTCTGGGGCGAGCATGAGATGCGTAAGATGCGCAATGCTTCTTCATTCTTTTGTCTCCAAGAGGGATCATCTTGATGAGTAGCTGCATCATCAATCATTACTCCCCAAAGACGGTGGGCTATCAGATAGTTTTTAACCAAATTAAACCACTCTCTCGAGTTCTCCTTCGTAAGTGGCTTTATAACTTTGCCGTTATAAACACACGTCTCAGCCATAACTCACTCAACCTGCAAACGGAAACACTGTTGAGATTTCAAGTGTATTTCAAATTCAAATCATACATAGCAACGTTTTCATAATTAAAACATACGTTATTCTAACTTTCTTGTTTGTTTTCCTGGCGCCTTTGTACCAAGCTGTACGTCTCAGTTGGAACCTGGACGTTGCTTTTGCGCGGAATTACCTAATAATCATCATTCCGTTGCATTTCAATGATTAAGATGAAGGCAAAAATACTATAAACAATCATTGATTTTAGAAAAAGAACATATATGAAATTCTTTCCGTACCTTATAACTTGCAAACAATCAATCCCTTCCCTACCATGCCCGGATTATGTGAGAACTCATATATATATATATATATATATATATATATAAGTAACCATCAATTAATTGTAGGAGGCTTAGTTTTAGTCCAAATATAATTTTAAAATACATATTTTGTTTATATATTCGTGTGTTAATTAAAAGAAAAAAAGAAAAAATGACAACAAAAAAAACCGACTAAATTCTCAATTTGGTTTCGTAACAGGTATTAACAACACTAAATTCATAAATAATAATAAATTTTTGTTACGTGTGTAATTTTCTAACTTCCTTTTTCTTGTGTGTGTAATTTTCCCAAAAAATAACTGAAATTTTTTAAAAATTTTAATCCTGAGAATATACAATTTTAATATATACGTGTCGAAACTCGGACGTGGCTTCTCTTCTTTTCTCTTGCCATCCGCTGCCCTCCTCTCCCCTCAAAGTTGCAGGCGTTTTGAGTGAAAAACAAGAGAGAGTGAGTGCTTTTCTATAAATATATATATTTAGTATTTTAAAATATTTTTTCAGTATCTTTAAGTATTTCAAATTAATTTTTAATACATTTATCACTCTATAATGTTTTTCTAGTAGTACTCAACATCTAACTCTCAATGTCGTAAAAATTTAATATCCAGTATCTGACATCCATTATATGAAATTATTTTTTAATAACATCTAATATCATAAATTAATTTTTAGTATATCTTGAAGTAATTTTTCATATAATATTTTATGGTCACTAAAATCTGGTTCTAGATACTTGATACTGCTAACAAAACACCGCATCATGTTGGATGTTATATAGGCGTTGCTGAAAAAAATATTTTAGCCTGTTAAGCAGACTAAAAATTTTTTTTACAATACTAAGTGCTATTAAGAAATATCTTATAATGCTGAATATTAAATATTGGGTGCTATTAAAAAAATATTTTTCTTTACTGAGTACATTAACGGTTAATTTAGGATAGAAAATGACACTGAAGAAATATTTTAAGATAATAGATATATTTTTTAAATTGAAAAAAGGCCTCTCCCTCCCTTACTTTCACTCAAAACCCTGCAGCTTTTAGGGTAGAGGAGGGCAGCGGGTGGTAAGGGAAAAGGAGAGAAGCCGCCTCCGTCGAAACTCAGAACCATTCCATGGTCAAAAGGCAAAAAAGAAAAAAAAGAAAAAAAACTCAAAACCATTCACGTTGGATGGATGAGAATTAGATGTTTTCTTTTTTATAGTTTTGCATATTTTTTATTTTATATATATATTTAATTTTTTTATGCACAGAAAATGCGGGGTGTTTCTTTTTATTTGTTCGCCACAGCACTAACCCTGCTGAGTTGGCGGGCTACCCGAGTTAAAATTCTTAGACCTTATCTGAACGGGCTCTTTTCGTTCTTGTACCGGAGATAACTCGTTTAACCAGCTGAGTTGGTGCGCTACCCGAGTTAAAACTCTTAGATCTGAACGGGCTGTTTTTTTTTTTTGGGGGGGGGGGGAGAATTAAAAGGAAGAAAAAAGAGGTCGTCCAAGTTCGTTTGTGTTGTCCTCTGTGAATCTTATGACAATAGAGATGAAGTAGAAATAGAGCAATGAAAAAGAGAGGAGAGAAAGAGAGAAGATAGAGAGAAGAGAGGGGGAAGAAGAAGATCCAAGATGAAAACAAGTAAAGAACAGAAAAAAATTGAAGTATAAACTGGAAAGAAAAAAGGGAGGAGAAATGAATCAGAGATGGGAAGAGAAAAAAAAGGAGTAAATAGAAGAAGAAAGTTGAAAACATAGAAGTGAGAAAAGCTCTTACCGGAACCAAGGAAGAAGACGATGACTTGCTCACGCTTTCAGTCCTCCCAATTCTCCACTACTGAAAAAATTGAAAATCCAATGCTAAACACAAGAATGAAGAAAGAAGAGAGCTATTTCACTCAAAAAGAAAGAAGAGAGCTATAAATGGCCAAGATATACCGACATACTGTACAATTTTCAAATAATGCACTTTTTCAGTCTGGTCAACAAACAAAAGTGAATTCAAACTGTACTCCTTTTTAACACTTTATTATAATTTTATTTTTGCATTGAATCATGAAATCGTTATTTATGACTATAAACTGCGGGTCGGTTTGGGTAACATCCGAAACCGAGGTTTGAGGATTCAGACCACGGTTTTAATGAAAAAGTTGCCAAACAAGGGTTAAAATTAATAAGCCATGGTTTTGGGTTAAAACTATAGTTTTAGATTCAAAACTATAGTTTCAGAAAAAGTGAATCAATTTTGCTTCTGATTCAAATTGAAGCATATGATTGTGTCTGTCAACTTAGATTTTAACGATAATATGATTTTAATATCCCTCAATTATTATTTTATAAACACATTTAATCTTAAATTTTATAAATATATATACACATATTAATTAATTATTAATTATATTATCTTATATATTATTAATTATGTTGGTAAAAAATATATTATTAACAAATTTATTCCTTCAAATTAAAATATTTTATAAAATCCATCTTTTTTGTAATTATCATATTAATTTATGTTTTTTTTAGTAATTTGTACATATAAAAAGTATTTCTAATAATAGCTATCCAAATACTCTCACTTTATCAGAATCACTTTTTCACAAAATTTATTCTTCACAAAACCTATTCTCTCAAGAATTTACTTCTCCAGAAGTTATTCTCCAAACAATAATTTGGTTTTATCCAAACACCTCCTGCATTTTGATAGGTTAAAGTTTTTTTTTGGGTTTAAATTAGTTAATATAAAATTGACAAATTTTGTATCAACGTTGTGTTGTTTCATTCAAAACTTTATTCATTGCAGTGTTGTTATATTAATACGTAGACCTATTATATATTTACTTTTACATATGTTATTATATACATACCGCAACTTTTTTATCAAATTTTTTATTTTAATTATTACCGATTTAATTCTAAGTTGATCCTAATGTAATCCGTTAATCTTTTAAATCACTATTTCTATCAGTTCATTGCCGTGTGATTTTTAGTACCTTATTTTTTTTCCACCCTAACAGGACAATTTTATTCTAAATATTTTTTACAATATTGTCAATGGTTGTCAGTCATTATTATAATAATAATTTCAACTACTTCCTTTTTTGCTTGAGAAAATTACATTTACGTCCCATATAAAATAATTAATTCATAAAAAGTCTCACAAAATCCCGAAATGATTCCTAAATCCCTGAAGACCTGTGTGTAATATATTATAATTGTGAAATTACCTATTTACCCCTATTAATTTGAACCCAATGTAATTCATTTACAATCTCAGTAGTGGCTGTTGACAACCCGAGAAGAAGTGGTTGACAACCTCGGCAATACCTTTAACAATTCATTCACTTCTCCTCGGGTTGTCGACAGTCACTGTTGAGGTTGTAAATGAATTGTTATCATAAAATTAGTAGGGATAAATAAGTAATTTCATAATTACAATTTATTACACACAGATCGTTGAGGACTTAGGAATTATTTCGGATTTTTAGGGACTTTTTCTGAATTAATTATCTTATGTAGAACCTGAGTGTAATTTTCTCTTTTTGTTTTTGAATGAGGCGGCACAGTTAACAAGACACATTAATTATACTTCAAACTAAGTACTTTTTAATAATTAATTAGACTGGTAGCTTATGCTATGGAATCAAGGGAGTATCTACCGGTCAGCTGCTTTTTATTTTTTTAATTTTTGGATTAAAGAGTTTTCAACATCTTAAAATATTTTTTTAGGTACATTTAATATGTTAAAATATTTTTCAGAGTATCTAACATTCTAAATTTTTTTTTTTTGCTTTAGTGTTGTATACATCAAAAAACATTTTTGGTTGCTAGACATTAAAAAAAAAAGATATTTTACGATACAGGATGCACTAAAAAATACTTTAAACTGCTGGACGTATTTAACAAAATACCTCAAAATATTATATATATCACAAAATATTTCATAATACTGAATATATCTGTAAAAATACCCTGAGTGCACCTTGATCCTTTAATTTTTTGTTTCATGTGTATATTTAAATCTAGGCCTATATTCTAGGCCAAGGTGGTATATGGGGACAAAAATCATTGGCACCCGCAATCCTCTAATGTTCTTCGCGTCCATTTATTTTGCTTGGAAACTGTGAAAAGAAATCATATTCACCTCACACTGTGACCGTAAAGATCCTATGATCCAATCCTATCCTAAATGTAAATCACTTGTTGGAGAGTTTTGGTCGAAGCATTAAAAAATAAGGGATTGAGATTATGATTGTAATTAAAAAAATCATTAAAATAGTATTTAGCATGAGTAATTTCTTATTATATAGAATTAGACAAACTCATAGAAGTGAGATTGGAAAATACCATTTCCCCCTATGATATTCTCTAATCCCACATACATGGGTTTGACTAATCTCATATAAGAAGTAATCTCTTATACTCCCAAATACTGGGAGTACTAAATACTGTTTTAATATATTTTCTCAATTGTAATCTCAATCCCAATTCCTCATTTTCAATACTTTCTACCAAATGTAACCTTTATTCTAAGTCAGTTGCAGTATATTCAATATTTGTTTTCCAGTTTTATGTTTATTTAATTTTTAGTGGAAAGAGAGTAAAAAGGAAAAGATAAAAAATTTTTAATAAAAATTAAAATTGAAAAAATTTATCAACTAAATGGGTCCTATTTCTTGGTATATGAGAATGTATTCTAACTGATTTATATTGAGGACCAAAGTGGTACTATTTCGCCTTGAAAATTTATTTATGTGCTCCATTTAGTCCTTTTTATAAGTTAGCAAAAAGATCCTTTTGATCAGAGTCCAAAATTTGAATTAACGAGGTGTTTGGATTAGCTTCTTGAAAATGATTTTATTGCGTACAAGATATTTATATGAGAGGAGCTTTATCTCAACTTTCTCATTTGGTCTTATTTATAAGGTACTTTTAAAATGTTTTATATATATTAAGGAAAACCTTAAATTGCATTAGCTCTCTATTAAAATATAACAACTTTCTAACTTTATCCCTATTTAATATATGAGTATATCTTTC